TTCTAGCCACTCCTCCCAGAGCTTCTAAAGGTCACCTTTTTCCCCTCAAATTCAAGTGGCTTGGGAGGCAAAGCCCTAGCTTCCGGTCACGGAGGCACCACCCCTTCTGGTAAGACATTCCCGTGGTTCTCATCACTATGGAATCAGGCCAAGGCACTGAAATGGACATTTTCCAGTATTCTTTGCTGTGCCCAAACCAAACCACCCAGTGACCGAGGCCCAGAGAGACAAGAGCCAGAGGGGACAGGACACGGAAAGAGACAGCACACTCGAATTGGGTCACTGGAGGAAGCTGAGGAAAGAAGCAATCTGCAAAGGGTGAGGCTACCATAGGGTTTGTGTCAGGCTGGTAACAGTGGGGCTCTCGCCTTTCCGACACCTGCGAGGGGCACCACCACCTGGAGACTGAGAGGCAGTACTGAAAGGGCCACCTGACAGGGCCTGTGGCCCTGGTGTGTGGAGAAAGAAAGATCAGTGAGAGGCAGCCAGGCAGGGAGGGGTCAGGAACGAGTGAGACCTCCCACTCCTCCCCACCCCCACCTCCTGCTAGAGTCCCCCATTAGGAGCCAGAGTCAAGAGAACCCACTGATACAGCCCAAAGGGCACCCTCCAGGGTTGTGGAGTGTGAGAAGGGGACAGTGAGTGTGGAGGATCAGACAGGAGCCGCGCAGCACAGGGCAGGGCAAGGGGCTTGGGACTGGTATCCATCTTCCGTAGTCACCACCTCAAACACTTGCTGTGGCTCCCCACTTCCTGCAGAGTAAGGCCCAAGTTCTGAGCCTGGCATTGAAGGCTCTGCACACTCAAGCTGCCTTCCTACTGGGAGAGCTACAGGTGCTCCACACAACATGTCTGCACAGCTCTGCATACAGTAGGTAAATCCCATTGTCATCAACATTTCATACAGAAACCAAGTTTGCCCCAGATGGCACAGCTGGCAAGTGACAGAGCTGGCATACGAACCCAGGTCCCCTGCCACCAATTCTGATGCTGACCCGACCCATTCTGCTGTCCTGCCTGAGTGGTAGGTGCATGGACAGCAGAACCAGGTGCAGCTCATCCGACCTGTGCCTGCTTCACAGAAATGGTCTCAGTAAAGGGCTGAGGGGAAGGAGTAAAAAGGAGGGGTGGGACAGAAGGAATGAGGAAGATGAGCATAACATATGCTGGCCTCTAGGTTCTCATTTTACTCTCATAAGTGTCAGAGCCAGGGCTTGACTCAAAAACCAGCCAACTGCCTGGCCGGCAGAGCTAGCCTCTGCAGAGTGGTGCCCGAGAGATCCGAGGCCCCTTGTTTCCACCCCAACCCGTGCTGTGTCCCTCTCAGAGCACCTGAAATTCCCTCTGCTAATCTCGACCTGGAGTTGGACACAGTTTAGAAGGCCCCTGTTAGAATGAAGATGTTACTGGAAAGAGAAACAAACTGGGCCAGTGGCATCAGGCTACCTTAAAGTTGTTGAAGTGTGCGTGTGTGTGTGTGTGTGTGTGTGTGTGTGTGTGTGTGTTTGTGAGAGAGAGAGAGAGAGAGAGAGAGAGAGAGAGAGATTGAGTGAGTTAGTTGAAGGACCCAGGAGCCCAAATACCACCGTTAGAGATTTAGGGGAACCTCCCCCAAGGGTGTCCTGGAAGGCAGCACAAGAGATGCAGCATGGTGTGGTGAGAAGAAGGTTCTAGAGATGTGGGTTCGGCTCAGGGGGGTCCACTGCACTGCTGTGTCTCCAGGGCAGTTACTTGCCCCACTGTGACTTCCTTTGCTCCCTGTAGAAAGAGAGGGGTTGGATGAGATGCTTACATCCTGTTCCAAGACCCTGTGGCCAAAAGGCCCGTTACCTTTTGTTAGCTGCTGAGACACCAGAGAGGGGCTCCCTCTGTTCGTGTGTCCCCACTCCAGCTAGGGCAGAATCGTGAGGGCTGCAGAGGACACCGTTGGGATCAGTCCTGGGAGACCCCCACCTGGGGTCCCATACCCCGTGCCCGTGACTGGCACGCTCCAAGGTGGCCTGTCAACCCACAGCTGTGTCTCCCACCAACTCAGTTAATTCCCTGCTGCTGTTCCTGGGAAGTGACAGCAACTTGAAGCAGAGCAATTAGGATGAAAAAGAGGCCCAGCTGCTTGGGGCCAAAGGAAAATAAACAGACGGGCCCTGTGTGTATTCCACCGCCAAGAGGAGCAATTCTTCACAGAGTGATTACCACTTCCAATTCCAGTCTCCGCTCCTCCACTGGAGGCAGAGCAGTGACCTCAGCTGCTGCTGTTCTCAGATCCCGTTCTTCCCAAAATGCACCCTGGAACCAGTGGACTCAACAGCTCATCACCTCCTGCTGAAGGTCTCCCCTAATTACCTGGCCCACAAACCCCTGCAGAAATGATACCCTCTACTCTGACATCTAATAGCCTCTATGAGTTTTTCCTTTGATTGATCGATCAATTCACTCGTTCTCTCGACATCCACTGAGCACCATTTATTCATTCATTCACCCAATATTTATCGATCCCCTTCTATGTTCTAGTCACTGTCCTGGGACCTGGCTGACCCGGCAATGAACAAACATGGAGGTCAGTTTTAGTAGGAGGAACGGACACTGAACAAGTAAAAATACAGCACAGTAGATGATTCTAGATGCTATGCAAGAAAGGAAAGCAGTAAAGGGGAGGTAGAAAAAAAGACATATATTTTAAGTAGGGTGGTCAGGAAAGGCCTCCGAATGACAGTGCATCTGACAAAGGCCTGCAGGGAGTGGGGAGTGAGCCAGGCAGCTGAGTGAGGCAGGTGTGCCTGGCGGAGGGACACGGAGCGAAGGCCCTGCGGTGGGACTGTGCCCTGCGTGTCTGAATTGCAACGAGGCTGCCAGAAAGTGGTAAGAGGCATCAAAGAGAAAATGGGGCAGAGGGTCCTGAAAGGACTTCGGTGAGACAAGGAGCCACCTAAGGGTCTGAGTGGAGGAGCAACAGGTCTGACCGACGTTTCGTTCTGGCTGCCACGTGAGCAGATGTGAAGGGAGGCAGGCAGGCAGGGAAGCAGGCCCTGGGTGAAAGTGTGAGGTCTGGCTTCCCCTCCCACCCCTGTCAGGCAGGCTACATAAGCAGAACAGGCAAGCGTCCAGGGAGAGGAAAGCGTGGGGTGCAGGACACCTAGACACTAAAGTCTCAGGTACAAGGAGACTGTATGCACAGCCAGAGAGGCCCCCAGGGGGCTGGGTTGCAGGGCTCTCATGGAGGTTCAGGAAAGCTCTCCCTGCTGTGTTAAGCTCTCGGGTGTGTGTGTGTGTGTGTGTGTGTGTGTGTGTGTGTGTGTGTCTAGGACAGATTTCTCATAGGGGGCCTCTGGGCTGGGACACAGAGATTTCCTTACCTGCAAGCTAGGTATAGTTACAATCTTTGGCAAGCATGGTGGGTTGTGGGAGGAACAATGGAGCCTAACCTTTGAGGCCAGAGAAGAAGGTGGGCTGGATTATGAAAACTTCCCCCACACTTCATGGGAGCGGGAGGGCTTCAACCTGTCACTAACACCCTCATGAGGTGAGCCCTTAGTCTCCTAGCTAGATCCGGAGGAAAAGAACCCAGGGGAGTGGATTTTCCTATCAGGAGGAGGTAAAGGATTGGACCCAGGTGAGTGGATGAACCCTGAGAAGAGAACGTGCAGAGAGAAGGGTAACAGAGAGGAATGTTAAGGAGACAGGCAGGAAAACCCTGTCCATCTTGCTTGAAATGTCAGCCAAGCAAGAAGATAGCAAGAGAAAATAAAACACGTGGCCCTGGTTTCAAAGCTGGGTTCCATTACTTCCTAGTTGTGCCTCTTCCAATCTCATAACCTTAGGGTATTTGGGGTTTTTTAATTTTTTAATTTTTAATTTTTTTTTTATTTTAAGAGGGGAGTGGGAGTGTTACTGAGCTGCCTATCACTTGAAATTCTTACAAAGCTGAGCTAAGTCAACCACGGGAAAGCTGTGAACATCACATTGTTATTATTATGCACAAAAGAAGTACCAGAAAGGGCTGCTCTGGATCAAGGGACAACCAAACCTCAGGGGCCAGCAGGCCCCCTCTGGGCTGGCCCGTGCAGCCAGCTGCAGAAGCTGGCAAACACAAAGCTCTGCGGGTTCAGACAGCGAAGCAGCCGATGGATCTTGAGGTTGCCAGTTCAGGGTGGCCGGCACTGGGCTGAGCAAAGAGAGCCCTCTGCGCTGTTAAGGAAGCACAGGGAGGGCTGCCCGAGCTTCCCAGGTCATTCTGGGGCAGAACCGAACCGCTAAGAGTTACATGACTGTCTAGGGGAATATAGTTTTGTTTTACAGTTTACCGCTGATTGGGGTCCTGACTTTATGAACTTACATGCTAACATGTAACTATGTGTACAAGTATGTATGTGCATGTATGTGAAGATACAAAGGGTTTTAGTTGAGAGAACCAAAGTAGTTATGGTTTTATTGCCCTGTAAGACATTAGCCAGCTTCATTTCTTACCTTAGCAAATTTATTTATGTCTTTTCCAACTAAATATACAAATCTGTCTTTCAAATGCTCCTTTGATGAACCAGCTTTACCATTCTTCTGGTTCCCTCATTAATGAGTTAAATACATAGATCTTGGACAGGTGGTAAAGAAGATTGTACTGGGACAAAACCTAGAAGTGAGAGCTCTGCCATGCCTTGGCCTGGGCCAGTCACTCAGCCTCTGAGCCTCACATGTCTCATCTGCCACCGGGAGAAGGCACCTAACTCCCAGGACTGAGGCAGGGCTGTAGTGGGAGGAGGGACGTGAAAGCACTTTGCACACCATTAACAGGATGCAAAAGTCAGGATTTATTGTTGTGGCTCGTCAGATTAGGCTACTCCAACGCTAGAACGTCCCAGGCTTCTGAGAGCAGCATTCTCCGAGGCTTGAGACATAGGTTAGGCGAAAAGGCAGTTGGGGGCGGCCCTGATACTAGACTCCGTGTCCAGGTGGTGCCATGCTGACGCCGCATCCTCCACTTGTGAGGAGGCTGGGATTTCACATGGGCCTCAGGTCCTGGAGGATGGAGACCATTCAGGACCAGTCAGAGAAGTCTGCCCAGGGGCATAGAAAGGATGGAGGTTGGGGGTGGGCGTCGGATCAGGAACCAGGGTGGGGGCATTTTAAAGGAGGGACAAGAGTCTTCATCTAACACCAAGTTCCTAATTATTGGCCTCTGCAACGTGGGTGCTGTCAGGACCTCGCATGTTACTCTGTAGGCAGGAGAGTGTCCCAGCTCAGCTGATGGCACAGTGGGATCTCTGTCCTTCTATCTGCACATTTGCACGGCTGCACGTGCACACACGCAGGATGACATCAGTCAGGGATTCAGTAAGCAGTGTGGGCAGCCAAGCTCACGACCAGCCAAATCTGAGCAGAGGAGGTGGGGACAGAGCCAACAGAAAGAGAAGAGGAAAGGCATTCCGGGACCAGAGAATATCAGGAGCAGAGGCTAGGAGGAGAGAATTAACCTGTAGAATGTGGAGGAAGGATAGGATGAGGCAATTAGACCTGGTCAGGACTGGCTCATACATTGAGTGACCTGTACTCATGGAAGTTAATAGTCCACTGCCCTGAGGTGATGAAATAAAGGGGGGTAGGCAAGGGGATTACAACTGGGTTCTCCCCTGCAGATTCAAACCCTATAAGGGGGTAAGGAAACCTTTTCTCCTCACAGGTATCTCTCCAGTTTCGGTTCAGTTATTGTCTCTGCAAACCAGCCCAGCCTTGCCCCAGCCCCAGATGTCTCCATGCACAGCTGCTCTGCCTCAAAGGCGGGGTTCACGGAGACTCCGCAACTGCTGAAGCCGTCCCTCATCTCTCCTCTTCTGGGCCTTCTGAGCTCTCACTGTTTCCGCCATATGAGCCTCCCTTTCAGCAGCTAATTATCCTGCCTGTCTTCTTCACATGGTGTACCCTCCTTCCTGGAATTACATATTTTTTCTTTCCCTATTTTCCCTTTTCCCTAATTTCTTCAGTACTTTGTTTTATATTTATATTACATTGTGGGGGTTTTTCTTTTTCTTTTTTTTTTTAAATATTGCCTTCAACCCTTTGTGGACCAAGACAAATATGTGTAAGCCTTCTGTCATCCCCTAAATGTTCTGTTAGGATTGAGTTTTTTCTGGGCTAAACTCTAAGCTTGGTGGACCTCTGGCTGGCTGGCAACTACCAACTACACTAGGGCAAGCAGTGTGCTGGGCACATAGTAGTTGCCTAATTTTTGCCTAGTGACTGGCAGTTTGATTATCATCACTTAACCCACTCCCACCCATGCTCAATTCCTGGCCCATTCACACACAAGCCTAGATGACAGCAATTTCTCCCCTCCCCCACCGCCGCCACTGACATTTCGACCCACCAGCTTTCAGCAATGCCCAAGTAATTTGAAGGCTCAGACCCTAGCATCGTCTTTGTGCCCTGAGTTTCTTGGGCATGTTTACACCACCTGACAACGTGAGATCTGATCATCTCAACCAGGAAGAGGAGTCCCCCGCCGCTCCGAAGGCCCGCCTCATAGACCCAGCCATGACTCAGGGAGAACTCAGGAGGTCATCCCCCCTAAAGCCCGGCCCAGAAGTCACAGTTCAGGTGTTGTCGAGGCGACAGGCCCTTGAGCGCCACTAGGCAGTCTCAGGAGAAAGGTCTGCAAGGAGCCGGGCCTTGGGAAGCCTGCCTTTTCCCTGAGCAGCCGCCAGGCGCTGCCCTCAATGGCGTAGAGCAGTGTGAACATGCGATTGACAGTATAGACAATGTCACCACGCACCACCGCTGTGAAGAGCGCTCCCTTGCTGTTGACAAACTGGCCGGGCAGCGCTGTCCACTGGCCCGTGGCCAGGTTGAAGCAGTCGATGGCACAATGTAGAAAGTCGTCGGATGGCCCGTTGCGCACCACGTAGAGGCTGTCGCGGTGGGCTACCATGCAGTGGCCATAGCTCTGCGGACGTCGCAACTCGGCCACTGGCAGCCATGCATCGGCCTGCACCGTGTACTCCACCACAGCTGTGGTGTCAGCTGGCCGCCACAGACACACGAAGAGGCGACCACATGCCTGGGCGCAGGGCACGCCGGCAGCCGGCTGCGGCAGGTCTGCCACAAAGCTCCAGCATGCCGCAGCCGGGTCATAGCGCTCCACGGAGCTCATGGGCATCCTCTGGAACTCGCCGCCGATGGCGTAGAGGCAGCCGTCGAAGCCGGCCAGCGCCGTGTCGTAGCGCGGCTGGTGCGGGCTGGGGAACTCGCACCAGGTGCCGCTCTCAGGGTCGTAGCAGAAGCCCAGTTCCACCACCTCCTTACTGGGACCCCGCACGCCCCCCACGATGTAGAGCTTGTTGCCCAGCGTGGCCACGCCGGCCAGCATTGTGCTGGCCTCCAAGGGCAGCATGGCCAGCGTGCGCCACGCGTCCTCCTCCTCGTCCAGGTAACACACCGATCGCGACTGGTCCTCCAGGAAGCCAGGCGCGGGCGTGTGCGTGCTTAAGGCCACATAGCTGCTGGGCCGCAGGGCCGCCACGTACGCGCGGGCCTCGGGCAGCGCCAGCTCGGTCGCCAGGTCCGGCGCGCCGTCGCGGATGAAGAGCGCGGCGCTGTGGAACACATCTCGCAGGCCGAAGGCGGCGGCCGCGTCGCACAGCAACGCGCAGTTGTCGGACGTGAGGCTGTGCTCCAGAAAGCGCGCCAGCGCGGGCGCCTGCAGGAAGGCGGCGCACTCCACCGCCTGCAGCAGATCCTCCGCAGCCTCCAGCGCCGGCCGCTCGCCGCGCAGCACCTGCAGCGTAGTGCGAAAGCCGGCCGGGCTCAGGGCGCCTAGGCGAACCTCGGCCGCGCGCGCCTCCCTCATGCCGGATCGGAAGAGGCCACGGAAGAAGCCGCAGTGCTCCACCAACAGGGCCTGGTCGGCCTGGAAGAGCTGGCCACCTACCCACACCTGCACCGCGGTCTCTAGACCCCGAGGCATGGCGAGCGGGAGGGCCGAGGCTGCCTCGCTGCGGGCCTGGATTCAGCGGCCACAGACTCTGGGGCTCCCCCGTAGCAGAAAAAACTTCCCCCGGATATAAATATATCCGTGGCTAAAGATAGTATGGCTCATGTGATGTGGTGGCTAGCGGGTTGTATGGCCCCAGGCCCAGAGGGCATCCAGAGACCTTCACGGTCACTCAGTCCCTCATGGGAAAAGATAATAGTGAACATGTACAGAGCATCTGCCTGCTGCCTGCTGGGCACCATGAGGGATCCTTACAAAGATGTCCCATTCAACCTGCACCAGACCAGCTGTATGCCCTTGCGCTTGTGCAAGTGCCCTAACTCTCCGACCCTGTTTCCTCCAAACGGGGCCATGGTACAGGTATCCCCCGCTTTTTGAAAGTTCACCTTATGCCACTCTGCTTTCTCGGAAGACCTACATTAGTATCTGCTTTCACTAACTAAAAAAAACTCTGAGAAGCGAAAATGGCGTTCAGTGTTTCCCAGCCAGTCCTTGCAGAGGCGGCATATGCACCCTGCACAGCAGGGAGCGCGGCCCCTCCGCACTCCTTCCCTGGGAACGACGCTCTGCATCTCAACATTCAGTCGCAGTAACTCTGAACCGTGTCTGTGAGCATCTGTGCTTCATTTCAACTTATTTTCTGCATCTGTTAGCAAGATGTGCCCTAAGATAGTTGCTTCTTCGCCTTAGGCCATTTCCATTTACAAAAGGTTTTGAAGGAATGCTGTACTTTCAGATAGTGGGGCAAACCTGTATTGGGACAATATCTGTAAAGTTCTTGGAGAATTTATGTGACTTGTTCAGGGCCATTCAACTTGGAGGAAGCAAGGACAGGAGTAATGCCTAGCCTACCCCATGGGCTGGTGGGCAGGGGGTACTTGGGCACTGGAGGGAGGAGGCAGAGGTGGAGCAGATAGAGTAAGCCAGGCGGGGTCTGGATCCAGTTCTAAGTTGGCCTGCACCCTGACTGCACCCAATCTCATTTTGAGCCTGGATTCCTTCTCTGTAAAAATAGGAGGGTGGCAGGTAGTGTCCAATAAGCCCCTGAATGTGGAAGTACTTCCCAAATTGGGATGGGAATGGGAAGCCAATGTCTATTCTCCACTTGCCAGAGCTCCATTGCTGTGTCTCTAAACCTTAGGAAAAGCGAAAAGGGGCTGCTGATCATATAGCCGTGAGTGAGAAGGAGAAGGGCTTTGTGAAATAGAACATTTATCGCTTAAATTGCACTGTGTCAGACACTTTTGTAAGCACTTTCATTCCTGTAACAATTCCGTGAGTACATGCTATTATTTTCCCTAATTTCATAGATATTGCTTATAGCAACACTATGAGTGAGATATTATTAATGGCCCCATTTGTTAGATTTGAAGACTAAGGCACTAAGAGGTTTAGTCACATGGTCAAGGTCACAGGGCTGGTAAGTGGCAGATCGAGGACTGGTGCTTAGCCAGACTGACTCTAGAGCATGCGCCCTTAAATCACGGGTCTGCTGTCCCTCTGTGCTACAAATGCTGGGCCAGAAGGTCACAATTGGAAGGAACTTCCGGCTCATGTGGCTCAACCCCTTCATTTATAGTGGACAACCAGAAAGAGAATTGCCCAGGGTCATTTAGCCTGGGATCACAGTCTCAGGCCATCGGCTGCCCAACCCTGGGGCACTTTCCCCACTGCACTGAACTTTCCTGGGTGACCAGCTAAGACTCTGGGTTCCAACATGTCAGGTGGAAGAGAGCTTAGTGATTACCTTCTCCTTCCAACTTATTCTACAAGTGGGGAAACTGAGACCCAGACCCGTATAGGGTGGTATCTGCCATTCTGGAGATGTTCAACTGCAAGACTTCTCCAGGAGGATGGAGAGGCTCACAAAGACAAAGCCAGCGTTGGGAGGGGGCAGGGGACATTCCCTCCCCCGGGGACACAAGCGTGCACATGTCCTCACTTATGAATCTGCAGACCCAACACAAATGTGCCTCCCTCCCCCACCAGGGAACTCCCACCCAGGTCACTCCATCAAAGCAAGCTGGGGTATGGGGGCCACTTGTGTGTGCCTGGGAAGCCGAAGGCCTGGAGGAGGCAGCCAGAAATATCCCAGATGCTCTGCCCTAGGGACCAGACAGGAAGAGGAGGAGGAAATGGAGGGGGTGGTAGTAGTCCCCATGAATACTATCCCAGGCCCTCTGCCAGCTTCTCTCCTCCCCGAGGCCAGCCATTGGCTGACAGGGAGCAGTTCCGACAGTCTCCCTCCTGGAGGAAAGTAGGCTCTGCAGTGCCTAGTCCTAACTGTCCTTGCTCGTGGGCTCCTTGGGAGGAAGAGGGTGTCTGACTATTCCCATGTCACAGGCGAGGAAAGGGAGGCCAAGAGATAGGGTGGGCTTTTCCTTGATTGTGAACGAAGATGTGGGACTGTACTGCACCCTGTCCAGGACCCCGGGTCCCAGCCCAGCTGCCTCTTCTCACCAGCACTAGCCTTGTCTCAGAGGAGAGAAACTGCTGTCTCCAGGCTCAAGCTAAGAGGTGGTGTTGGGGAGGGGCTGGCGCCCAGGGGGCCAAAGTTCCTTCTCAAGTGGCCTGTTCCAGGCACTTAGTAACTGGCAGGCACAACCAGGTAAAGCCACTGCCTGGACCTCTCCTGAGAGCAGTAGGGGAAATGAGAGCAAATCTCTCCTGGCTGAAGCTTGTTCCCAGTCCCAGTTTTCCCCAAGGCCAGCCCTGGCTTGAGTGGGGTGGGACACTGGTGTACAAACCCAGCTCCTACCCTCAGGAGCCAGGTGGCAGGGGGAGGGGGTCATAGAAGGTGAGAGTCATGGTTCTGAGGCTGAGCTGAGGATCAGGCCTTTGGCTCTGCCCCAAGGCCCCAGTGGGGTGTCGTCCATAGCTGGTGATTTTCCTGCCCCCAGACAGTGAACGTCCCTCTGGGACTTGGAGAGGACAAGGAGCTGTCCTGGCTGTGGGCAGCCCACGGAGTTCCCAGGCCCTGCCCAACCCCACACCAACATCCTTCTTCACTGTGCAGCTCCAGCTCAGTGCAAGGCAGGAGGTGGGGGCGAGACTGGCCCACAATAAGGGGTCTGTTAAGTGGACTCCAGGGCCCTGAACTCAGTTGGAGTCCTCAGTCTGATAGAGGACACACGACCCCATCCCAGGAGAGCCGCTGGTCTGAAAGAGGAGACATAGCCCTTGCCTTGGGAGACACCCCCACCCCTGCAGGCTGATGGGGTCCCCTGGCCTTGCCGCCCCTGGTGGTATTTCTGCACACAGGGCAGTAAGGAGCTTACCCGGGCCTGAAGAAGGAAGAGCACTGGGTTAGGAATATTAGGATTACTGCCGGGCTCTGGCGCTGGGACTACCACTGACTTGCAAAAGCTGCCCAACCTCTCTGGGCCTCAGTTCCACATCTGTAGAATGGAACTTGGGTCTGACTTCTAAGGTTCTGTTCAGCTTTGACATCTGAATTTACTGTCATGCAACCGCAGGAGTGGTTGTCATATTGTGTCTCCAGAGAATGCAGTGACATCACAACAGGGTCTCAAAAGCTTAGCTTTAGGTGGCATGGCTCCTGGAGGGTGAGGGGTGGCAAAGGTAGGACCTGGCATCCAGAAATCTCCACAGGCTCTCCCTGTCCGGACCTGTCCATGCTCTGCTGTCCACTGCAGAGACATCTGAGCATCTGCCACAGGCCCACTGCATTCTGAGATCTTGAGAGCCTCCTGCAGGAGACTTGAAGGGGTGGGGGGTGGTGAGGAGGGTTGGACTACTTGCCCAGCAAATAACCTCTCTCTTGACCTGAAACGTCCAAACCTCTGGTCTCTGAATGGTTTGGCTTCTTGGTAGGTGGGTGTGAAGTGCGTGCTGTTCATGTCCTGGGGGAGTGGAGGGAGCTATTGTTTGCTTTTCTGGGCCATGTGCCAACCTCTGGGTGGAATACTTTCATGTTATCTCATCTAATCCTTAATGTTGTCCCTATTTTAAAGATGAGGAACTGAGGCCCAGAAGGGCAAAGCAGCTTATTGCAGGGTCTGATGGTTGGTGATTATTCCAAAGGCCTTTGCAGTCCACAGCAGTACTCCCGGGTGCCGGACAAGCAGCCCACAGCTGAGGAGCCTGCGGGCAAGGAAAGGGACCGGTAGCAGTTGTGAGGTCAGCTCGGACCCTCAGAGGAGGGTCTGGATACTTAGCAGTCACAGCTGCAGGCCTGAGTAACCAGCTGGCCAAATCATCTCTGAACTGGAAGGGAATTAAGGGTCATCTCATCCCTTCCTGTCATGATGAAGTCCCCTCTACAGAACCTCCTTGAAGTGGCCACCCCGGATTGCCTTCAATGTTGGGGGCTTCAGATGGATGGAGCTCACCCTCACACTGAGCTAGAACCTACCTCCTTGCAGCTCCCATCTACTTTCGATCCCAGTTTTAAAGACAAGCAAAGTAACTCCTCCAGCCCCAAACAAGCAGGGAAGTAGCGGAACCCAAGTTTACACCTGGTTGGGCCTGTAGGGGTCCACTGCAGGCCCTCTCTCTAGCAGCCCTCCGGTGAGACTGGCTTCTCCTCCCACAGACCCCACATCCAGAAACTGATCTGTCCTCACAGGATTGCGGGGGCGGGGGTTGGGGGGACAGCCCAGGGATGTGCCTGGAACTTGGCTCCCACTTTCTCTCCTCCTACAACTTAAAGGAAAACCCTTGGCCGTTAGCTCTGTGAGCAATTCTGGCCCGAGGGTGTAATCTAAACAAATTCCTTGCAACACCTTAGAGTCTTAATAACACAGCTGTTTTACCACGATGATCTCCCAGAAACACAATTATTGCTTGAGGCTGAGTCAATATTCATGTCCTGTCCTGGAAAATAATGTTCCTTCTCGGCTGAGGAGTTATTACTATCAGGCTCTGACACCCTTCCCCCCTTCCCTGCCTGCTGACCTGGGTTTCCCTGGTTTCTTGGGGGCGCGTGGGGGGGGGGGGGGCGACAGGACGGGTTAATTAGCAGGGGGTGGGGGGGGGGAGGGGAGAGGGAAGGGGGATTGGGGATACAGGGAGA